TCAAGACTTCCATTGGGCATAAATTGCAGAACAAAGGCTCTTATATGGTCACTAGAACATGTAGTAATCACTGGAACAAGATTTCTGTGTCTAACATTTCTCATCACTTCACATTCGGTGTCAAACCTCTTGCATACTTGCTCATTTTCCAAATGCAGAACCTTAATGGCCACTGCAGTTCCACCAAACAATGTGCCTTTGTACACAGAACCAGAGCTTCCCTCACCAATTAAATTGGATTCATCAAAATTATTTGTTGCTCGTTGAATTTCATGATAAGAAACTAATTGATGAGTCCCGATCTCCGGTACCTTTTCAACATCTTTGGATTTTCCTTTCTTCTGTCGTTTCATTATCCAAATTGAAACCAACAAGAATATCAGAAAGGATGCAATAACCACTGGAGTAACAATTTTAAGCACAACCTCCTTAAGCTTTGATTGTTTTCCAGGATTAGTGACAGCACAATCAGGAATCTCCAATATGTGCATTCCACATAGACCTTTGTTCCTGAGAAATGATTGCAGAGTGGAGTTTACAAACACGCCACCACTGGGTATTTCACCTTCTAAATCATTAAATGAAACATTAATGCTTTTAAGGTATGAGAGTTTTTCCAATGACTTAGGAATAGTACCTGACAATGCATTTGAAGACAAATCCAAGTATTCCAAGTTTATCAAGTTGGCAAATGATAATGGAATTTTTCCAAAAATTGAATTGTTCGATAGGTCAAGATACTGCAGGTTTTGGAGCTCCCCGAATCTGGTTGGTATCACGCCTGTAAAGTGGTTACTGTAAAGATATAGTTCTACAATGGCTTTCAGTCCTCCAATATCCTGGGGAACTTCTCCCTCAAATGAATTTCGTGATACACTTAGAAAGAGAAGACCACTCATCTTCCAAAGGCTCAACGGAAATTTCGATGAAAATTTATTAGAATCAAAATAAAGATGTTGTAGCATGCTAAGATTTCCTAAGCATTCTGGAATTAATCCAGAGAGCTCATTATCATCCAGAAATAATTGAACCAAATTAGATAAAGGGCATACCGCCTCTGAAATATGTCCCTGCAATTTATTGTTAAATAGAAACAGCCCTTGGAGTTGTTTAAGCTTACCAATCTCAGGCGGAATACTTCCCGCCAAGTTGTTTCCTTGAAAGTGTAGGGTCATTAGACCGCTCATGTTGCCTATACTTGTGGGAATGGGGCCTCTGATATGTGCATCTGATATATGAAAGTTTTCAACAGATGAGAGATTCCCAATAGAATTGGGAAGAACGCCAGTCAACGGATTCATACCCACTTGTAGATATCGCAACTGTTAGCATGATAGACAACTAAATGATTGTACATATTAATGTAATTATATAGTGATATAAATTAGCATGATCATATACATTTGTTGTAGAATCATATGAATAAATATTGTGATAGAATAGCTGATTTGGAGGGATAGCAAGGCAGATTTAGAGGGATTCAATGGCAGATTTGTATAGATAGAATAGATGATCTTTAGGGATAGGAATGGCGGATCTTTAGGGATGTGTAATCTTTATTTTCTCTATATAATAGAAAGACTCTCTCACTTTGAGAGACATTCAGCTGAAAAATGACATGGTATCAGAGCCTTCTCTTGGCTGTCTTGTTTCATAGAGTCATCTGTGGTTCCTTTTAATTTTTTTTGAAAATCTTGGTTTTTGGCTACCTCTTGGGAATTTTGTTCTTGGTCATTCTAGTTGCTTTCTTGAGTCTTTGTAGTTTTATAGCTATTCAAAAGCATGAATTCACATCACTTTGAATCCTTCAGTGTTCGTTTCACTGGAAAAAATTATTCTTCTTGGGAGTTTCAATTTCAGTTGTTTGTCACCGGCAAAGAACTATGGGGCCATATAGATGGAAGCGATCCTGCTCCTACTGATGCAACAAAGCTAGGTGAATGGAAGATTAAAGATGCTCGGGTGATGACATGGATTCTAGGGTCAATTGACCCTCTTATTGTTCTTAATCTCAGGCCGTACAAGACA